CAACCCAACCCAACCCAACCAACACCCAACCCAACCCAACCCAACCCCAACCCAACCCAACCCAACCCAACCCAACCCAACCCAACCCCCACCCAACCAACCAACCCAACCCAATTCACACGGTGCGGAGTTGCCCCAAGCATTGCCTTATTTTCCTATCGACACGGTACTGCCAGCACAAGGTCTGTTCCTCCAAGTGTGGCATTGCCATCGCTCATGTCACTGTTTGTTCCTCGACATGAGCAACAGCCACTGTCTGTGTATGTGTGGCTGTACAGTGTTGCAATAGGCTTTCCTCACGTTGAGGAATGAATAGTGCAATCATGAGGAATGAGGAATACCACACCAGAGGAACAGACCGCTGTTTAGTTACGACCTCAGCTGTATTGTGGGAGTTGTCCGAGTTTTATTGTCATATATTGTCATATTGGTTCCTCTGGAACCACCTCCATCCTGTCATGACATGTGCGGCAACATGACACGTAATTTCAGTGGATATGAATCATTCCTGAGTGTGACGACGTTGCTAAAGAAGACCTTGCTAACAATGACCATGGATCTGGCCAAAATCAGATCTCAGGGTTTTCATCCAGATGCCGGCAGTCCGCGGCAGTGTCCTCATGCTGTGATGAAAAATGCCGTAAGGATTTTGATATGTCTATGTCCAAACTCCCCCCTACACGTAAACTACCAAAAACGAACTACCTAATCCACCAAGGTAGTCCTACGATGCCTCGGCTTCCAATTGTAGGCATAATACCCATATTTTGGGGACTTGGGGCGAACTTTGATGTGGACCAACATCTTCGTCTCCCTTTCATTGGTGCAATCTGGAGGCAGGCCACTCAGCTCCAGTTGGGACTCTTCCCTGACAGTGCTGCGCTCATCCCGGAATACATTGGCTGGACTCACTCTGAGATGCAATCTGTGCAGCGGCTCTTTGAGGTTGCAGGCAACAAGTCTGCTGATCAAGTCGGAATCCTCTTCACATCTCGAACGCACCCAGAACTGGCACCTGCGAAAAAACTCTGGAAGGATGCTTGGAAGAAAATCTGGAAACGGCTAGATGGTTATAACCTCATCGTTCAGCTTCTACATCGGAATGCCTGCCACCCTCACCAAATAATGACGCGGGAGGGTCAGGTCAAGTTCCCATCGAAACCTGTCAGCCTTGGCAACCTGCACCAGGACATTGCAAACGAAGTTTTCGGCCCTGAAATTTCTACAATCGACAGGAACGATGGCGAAATGATGATCTCCATGGATGTGATGGATGTAATCGACAAAATGGTTAGTATCGTCTGGCACAATCTCCAGGTCCAGACGTCCCGCACTCAAAAGGAAGCTGGAGAATTGCATGTGGAAATTCTTCGCAAGTATGATGGTATGTTGGAGGACCTCATTTCTACATCGTCACAGTGACACAACAAACACAGAAATTCGAGCATGCCTGGATGGTAATACGCCAGACAAACTCAATATGCCGAAGATTCGTAGTTTCATTCGTTCATACTTGACATGGCGGGAGAAGGCCAGACTATTCATCGACAAACATCGGAGAAAGGAAATCACGGAGATGGAGACCTACATGGAATGGCTTCTGCATCACATGCGTGTCGAGGGTGCAGAGAACAAGCTTGTGGGGAACAAGAGTGTGTGACCCTTAGTAATGTTTCGTCTCATACTCACCGACGATTTGTAGTGGTGGTTGCAGTTACTGCAACCACCTTGTATGTCCTGCAGAATCTTGCCAATGACGAGCAACGTATGGATCTCGAGCGCTACCTTGTCGAGCTGTGGGATCAGGATGTGTACAGCTTGGGACCCGAAGACCTCAGAGAGGTGCAACTGACCAATTGCCTTCCCTCTGGTGGTCAACAATCATGGGGCATCGAAGACCTGGGCATCGAAGCTGCAAGAGGCTTTTCATTGGAGCAGCTCAAGGAAAAGCTTGGCCTCAATCTTGGCCACATACAATCTCGGCAGCTTGGTTTCCTGAACACGGAATACGATGTTTCGCAAATCTACTCTCCCTGGGATCGTGAAACCTGGAAGGACTATCGCCAGAGTGGAAACATCCAGCCTCTCCATCTTCAGGAGCAGCAATTAGATGGGCTCCACAGCATATACTCCATGCTTTTCCGGCCCCGACCCTCCCCAAAAACGGGCATCCTCATTGCTGACACTATGGGCATTGGGAAGACTGCGTAAGCAGTGGTGTTGATTTGGTCATCTTGGGACTATGACTAAGAAGTTTTCTTCCAGGCAAGCACTCGGATTCATTTCCATGGTTATGTCGCGAATCGCAGCACAGAAACATCACAACATGAATCTCCCTGATGGATCGATCTATGGTGAGCGGCGACCACTCCAATACCTCAAGGGGAACATACCCTGATACATTTTCACCATAGCTGAGTGCCCCTTCCCAGTTGGGTCAAAGGATTCCAACGTACACTGTGGTCCACATGTGGTAATCTCTTCGGTGTCCCTGATGGAGAACTGGATGCGGGAGATTCGAACCTGGTTTGCACCTCAAACTGTGGATGTGTTTCTGTACTCGTCCAAGTCAGCCAATGGATTCTGGGCAGGCAATGGCCCCTGGAACGCCTCACAGTTGCCACTGGAACAACGGATTGTTGTGGTTTCTGATTCAGTAAGATCTTGACACGTCTGAATTTCAGATACTCACCATCCTATGCTGCCAGCTGTACAAGAAAGAATTTTTGCGTTTTTTCAACAAGCCCTCATCCCCTTCCCGTCCTGGAATGAAGAGCCAACCGGTATGGGAATGTCCACGCCGCCGCAATCCAAATCAGTCCACAGATGGGAGCATATTCTGTCTCAGGCCCTGCACCTTCATCGCGGATGAGGTGCATGTGTTTCGCAAAAATCCGGCAGAGTTGATACCCATGCGTGAACGCTCACAATTTGTCATCGGGATGTCTGGCACACCGCTCATCACAGAGCCCCAGGTAATCACGTCCCATTCCTCAGAGCGACATCGTGTCTAACCAAGTACAGGATTTGTTGAACCTTGGACTTTTACTCGGTATCCCCACCTTCATGGACCTTGCCGTCACCTCCAAACAGTGGGACACTCAGAGGAGCGTTGCATCTATGCAAAGAGCTTTAAGCAAGAGGTGCAAGGCAGACTTGGAGAAGGCGATGGAAACGGGAGATTTCAGCACCATCAACTCCGATGACGCTGCCATTGGTTACCGTGCCCTAATCCATGAGTCCATCATAGACTTCAAGAAGCACTTCGAAGGGGTGATTCTGCGTCGTTGTCTGGAGTCCAAGCGTCGCGATGGGACTCTTCTTGTTGCATTGCCACCTCTCGTCCAGATCCAGGTGTGGGTGAAGTTGGGTTCAGCACATGAGAATGCGCTGTCAGGCATAACGAAGGCAGCAGTGGACAAGTCAGTATTCTCTTTCAGCACTCGATACAGGTATTCACCCTGCCACCTTCAGTGGCACCATGGGACCAAAAGAATATGGCGTAAGTGATGTTAGTTGTTCCAGTGGAGTGTACTACTGTCTGACGACACAAATCATCAGAGATTTCTCATCAGGGGTAGGAAGGGGACAGATCACTGTGTGTCCTGTTCTCGCAGCATGTCAGCACCAATTTTTGGGTCCCTGGAAGACTACGAACAGAACGGTGGGTTGGAGCACTGTGCCAAGTGGGAAACTGCACTGCAGATCATCAAGCACGACTGCCTTCGTGATGACATCCCCCCCTGCACCGTGAACGAGGCTGGGGAGATCCAGATTCCTGCACTTTCTCCTGGTGCAACTGTGAAGCCTACCCAGAATCGGAAGATCGCCGTGTTTATGGAGTTCAAATCCAATGCCCCAGCCTTTGCCTCCGCCATCCATGTCAAACTCAACATCGGTGCCCTCGTTCTGGATGGGGACAAGGATGCATCGGTCCGGTTGCCTATCATCGACAAGTGGAAGCGTGGCGAGGTCGTGAATGGGCTGCACATTAGGGTCCTGATCTTTACCAACGTTCTGAAGGCTGGTGTGAATCTGAGCGCTGCTGATCGATTGATTCTTATGGTGAGTCCCTCTCAGCGCGTCAACATGTCATCCTTTTGCTTGACATTCACCTACCACTAGAATTCCCAATGGAGCCAGCAAGATACAGATCAGATCATTGCTAGAGTCCACAGGCAACCCCAGAAATCACCCGTCCATTGCTACCATATGTGCACGGTGAACTCTGCTGATGCGTTCATGCTGAATACATCCAAGCATAAGGCACTCCAGCTTCAGCTTTTCACTAACCAGGCGGACAGAGAAGGTAAAGTCCTTTTTTGATCGTCCATCAGATTCTGAGACATACATACAGAACTGGAGGCAATAATTATAACTGGAAGCGCCCAAGCAGCCATGGATAGTGTGGAAGAGGGCACGGAAGAGTCGGTGGCTTCAACCTCCAAGAGGAAAAAGCGATCCTCTGATGCAACCAACACCAAGGGCAAGAGGTTGCGGGCAGATAAAGCGAGCACACCGGCCAGCTCTGATGCTAGCAGCTACAAGTTGCATCCAGCAAAAGCCAGAATTCCCCCCAGCGATGCAGATGACGAGGACAGTACGTAATTTAATTTGACCTTGGGAGAGATACGCATCGATGGATTCATATCCAACAGGCACCTCACAGGCAGATAACATGGGGAGCCAAAGTTGGAGTGGTAAGACTGCGCCTCTGCATCACCCCTCACGACTGGCATGCTGATTTAGAGTGTAGAGAACCAATCAGGCCGGATGGAGCCAACTGGTGACATGGGTGGTTCAGAGGGTTCAGATTTGGACGAGTTGCGACTGGGAGGCAAATACAGCAGTGGTCAGTGCAAGGGCAAATGATCACTGCATGTTGTCTAACGTGATTTTCCTTTTTTTTAGGATCCAGAGGGTTGGGCATTGGCTCAAGGAGTGTGGGTCCTTCTGCCTCAGCCACTGCCCCAAGCCGTGTTGCATCCACTCTTGGTCACGCTGTGCAAGGCCCAGCGATATCTACACCCAATCGCACCACTCAAGTGTCTACAACTCAGGGTACATTCATTGTACCAACTTCCTCAGTCTCATCTCGTCCTCGTCCTCGGCCACGTGTAACTGGGTTAGTGGTCACCAGGGACGCAGCCAGAGAAGCCACCAGGGAGGTCATCAGGGAAGCTAGTCCTCCAGAACTGCCTCGTTTCCTACCGCACACAAAGAGAGGCCGGGGGGAAGGTTGTAGGCGTGGAATAACACTGCGATGGACTATTGGGGAAATAACTATACAATGTCCACAGAGTGTGTTAGAATTAAAAAAAAAAAAGTTTACAACGTCACCCAAATTCTAAAATCATAGCTGCTCATCGTCGAGAGCGATGGACTCATAATAGAGGGAAAAAAGTTGCCTAGGAATGTCAAGTTTCAGGGCAATTGGCCCAGCGGTTGTGGAGAGGTGATGATATTTGCCTTACCACGATGATTCCACATGGTGTCGAATGCCACGTGAGCCTGCCGGTAGTGAGAAATGCCGGCCTTCGGGAGATTGCGAAGCCAGTGTGACAAAGTTTTGTGTCACAAGATTCTGATGCGGTCCTCTTTGGTCCTAACCGTCCCCGTCTCATGTTCTTTTTCGTGATCACACATGTGATGGTGGTCCAATCTTCCTCGCCTTCCAGTTACCCATTCCACTGACTAATCTGCTTGCTGAGGAAGCGATCCGCTCTCCTTCGCCTACCAACAATGCCCACCTGGCAGCCAGTCTGCAAGCATCAACCGTTCTTCGCCAGCCAGATGCAATGAAGATCCCAGTTAATGTCAACCTGCGAGCGCAAGGAATTTTGACCTCGAAAGGGGAGAAATGTAAGGCGATAGCGGAGACCTCCTTTGGAGCATGAGCAGGGATGAGTGACGTTCATCTATTTGTGGGGCTATACATGTTCACCATTTAGGGAGATGATGCCGCAAATGAGATCAGGATTGGGGGGGTTCTTTGGATGCGGGTTCCATGCAGTGGTTTTTGTATCTTCGGCTTCACGTGCGGCGCTTGCCAATCCACTCTGAAAAGCCATTCATTGTTCATGTAAATGAAGCGATCTCGACTTGGTCTTTCCCACAGAAATCAACTCGGATCTGTACTGGCCTGCAGTGTATTTGATTGAAATCGGAGTCGGAGGTCACACCAATCATGTTGCAGGAGTCCCTGGCTGGTAACCTGGAACTTAGATAGCTTCTGGATCTAACCACTGAAGTGGTCCATTCACGAAACCACCGTGCTCGAGCGCTGCAGATTCATGTCGCCAGCGAGATCACCTCTCCAAGCATCAACGACGACAAGGTGGGAACCTTCCCGCTTCTCCATTCACTCCTAATCATCCCATTGCCTCTGATGGCTCTCGAACAACTGTTGGTCCTTTGCATAGCCGTGCTGTGCAGGAGCACAATATTGCAGTGCTCTCCTGCTAGAAAGTAAGCATTTGGGTTGGTGTTGTTGAAATGGCTAGTGCTGACTCCTTTACCACCTTTCCTTTCTCGCATCGACTTCCCCACAGATGCTGGTGACGGTTCCCACTCGCTCAACTGCCGGTGACCTATTCTGACCTAATCGGTCTGGATCAGCGGTGTAGTGGACCCGGCCCGCAGTGGGCCAGCAGCGAATGCGATTGCACAAGACAGACATGGCAGCCCGTAGTTACAAGCTACAAACAATGTCGAACCAATCCCAGCGCAAACACTTATCACTAAGCGCTGAATGCAAACAAAAGAAAAACAGTCGAAACAAGATACAAGGGCAGTCAATGGTACAGCAGGAGGCGATGGGGAGGGGTGGGATGCATGAAAGGGTAAGGCAGAACTAAGAATGAGAGCTAAAGAACAAACAAAGTCAAGTGCCTTAGTGAAGAAGTGAGTGGTTCGCAACAGGGAAAGACCCACAAGATCGCACGCGATGAATCGGTTGAAGATGCAGTGTAATTTTGCAGAGACTAGTGCTGCCTAGTCAGCATGCATAAGTTACAGGTCCCATCACGCCATGGGGCAACTTACCAGTTGGCCAAACCAAAGCGCAGGTGCAAGGACAGGTCCAGAGGATGGGGTAGCGCGAGGTCCCATCCGTTGGAGCGACTTGAATCCTGCCCAGGATCCAGGATTAAGTTAGGACCCGGATAGGTTTTCGTCCCTCGGTGCTGCAACAGCACAGGACATGGGGCCATCTCCAGGCCGCGCAAGTGGGACATGATTAGACACGTGAAAAAAATTTGAACGCAGATTTATTAGGCCCTTATTCCTTATGCATGGGTCGAGCATATCAATTATGCCCAGTCTTCCAACTGGCCATCCTGCAAATTAGTTTCTTTATGACCCTGACAACATCGCTAGTCCATCTTTTCGTCTTATATGATCATGTGCTGGCCCAGTGATTGTGCGACAGATGACGGTCTGAGAACTTAACGTATTTTTCAAATGATGTATTGGACTGTTCTCAAGCCGAAGGGTATCAACTTGTTGGAATAAAGAGCCAGTCGGAGGGACTCATCTCAACTTGCAAGTGGCCAGCTGACTTACTTGGTGGCGTCTCGTTGCTTTCACCTGCATGCACTGGATTTAAAAGGGACAGATCTTCTGGGCAAGATGAAATGGAAGACTGGGGAGTATATTGCCCAGTCCAGTAGCACATGAACTAGAGGAGAGTAATTACCTAGCGAGTATATCGCTGGTATACATGAATCAGTACAAGATGATGGACACAGTGAGAGGATAGTCAGACTCACCTCAGTGCCGTAGTGTGTGAACTGAGGAAAGAGTGGTGAGATTCAAAAATTCCTGCCTTGATCGCTAGGCGCTATGATTTTCTTTTTCTAACACAAGAAAACGATGCAACAACTGCATTCGCGACGATGTCGAGGTATGTTCATAGTTCTGTATTCATCATCCCTTACTCTAGTATCTCATTTCCCTTTTTAAACAAGGCTTTTTCTTCAAGGGCATTCCCTCGCCTATTCCCTTACAGGTGTAGAATACCCAAAGGAGAACGGGATCACCCCCCCACATTTATTGAACACATCGGATGGTGCTTACAGTATCATGATGGGTGTTTTTGCAGAGACCATTCGTTCCCTTGTTCCCTTTGGTATCTACCAACCACAGGGCCTCAATTCGGAGCAAAATCTGGAGTCAAACGATCAAGTGGCCCCCCCCAGTCTTTGGGTTACAATCAACCCAAGGAACCAAGTTTTTGTGGGGACAAGTCCGTGCACCGCAAAAAGTCGGATTCTGTGGATTCTACCCAACAACGCACACTACATACCCACCTATGCTTCAATTGCTCATTCCCTCACTATCTAACACTCCATACACCCATTCCCTATTTTTCCATATTTTTCCCATCATTCCCGACAGTCCCAGGTCAATTTCCCACACCCAACCACACGGCCAATTTCACCCCCTCCCCAGACCTCCACAACTACACATCAAACATAGCCATTTTTCTGCCCGATGGTGATGCTCTACCTTCCCCCCTTCACTCATGGAGCATTTCCCAGAATGGAAACCCCATTGGTTCAGCACGGTGTAGAGCCTCACGTGGTGTTGACAGCACCTGTCAATGGCCATATCTCAGGAACTACTGCACCAATCGGGACAAATGAGGGTTCGTTGGAAAGCTGGAGATGGGGAGGTTGCTGACGGGAGGATAGGCGGGCGCTGTAGCGAAGTGTTGCGGAGTTAACCCTTACAATTTCCATTTCGGATCCGTTGTCACAATTCCCCCATTCATTCTATATCTTTTATTGTTTCTCTGTCCCTGATTGGACATTCTTTATTTACAGTTGCCTATCGGCCCGTTTGCATTTCCCCACTGCATTCATTTTATTTCCAGCCCATATAAAATAGAGAAACCTTGTACATAACAAGTTAGTACTGAATAGACCCGTGAAGTGTTAGTTTGAGGTTTTTACAGACCTAGTAGCACCCCTGGACCAAAACCCGACCTCCCAACCTGTACCTGCGCATCACTACAACCCTCCCCCTCTTCTCTGTCTCAAAGTCAAGGCGATCGACCCATTACAACATTTGAAGGAACTGAAGGACCAAATGCTATGGAAAGAATGCAAAACTTGGTGGCAGATCTGTATCTCACGCAGCAAATGCGAGTCCATGACAAGGAATGGACAGTACTGTTAACATGGGAAGTGCAAAGACCGACATATCAGGATGCTATGGAAACTGTTAGTAGGAAAAGGAGACCAGCCAAGGACAAACGATGGAATACTTGTGGCAGACATCGGAACACCATCAAGGGGAGCATTGACACCATTTAGCACATACATAATAACACTATCACATGTAAGAGGATTGGGAAGGAGGACAAAAGGAGAGTGGGAGCAGACAACGGTGGGGGTGTAGTGCAGAATGGAGAAAGTAGACATGTGGAAAGGATCTGGCGAAGATGTAATGAGAATTGAGAAAGAAGATGACATAATTTCAGCATCGAAATTTCACTAATATTGCCATGGTGAAGAGACTCTTTTGGCAGCAACTGTTCCGAGAAAGGAAACACACATAGATCACAAGCGCTGCTAGACTCAACATCACCAATTGTGAGTTGGCCTCAGCATCATCCTGGTTCAGTACAACGGAGGAGGGTGGAGACCATGTGGTGAAGTTAACCTACAAGTTCTCATTTTTATGTTCAGGTGGCGCCAACAGTTATTGTGACAAAGTTTGTGTCACAACTGTGACAAAAGCGGTGATGCACAGGGGGAACAGAGTATGCATCACCGGTTCGGTCACAAATATTGTGACACAAGTTGTCACCACATTTCTGTTCCTCTAAAGGGATCTGTGTGCTTTCGTCAGCTTGAGGAAAGCCTATTGCAATAGAAAGAGTGTCAGCACCTCCAAGAGGAACAGAAGTGCATCTGTCACAAAGTTTTGTCACAAGATTGTGACACAAACGGTGATGCATACTCTGTTCCTCCAAGGGGAACAGAAATGTACCACTATGCTTTCGTCAGCTTGAGGAAAGCCTATTGCAATAGAAGGAGTGTCAGCACCTCCAGGAGGAACAGAAATACAGTGACAACTTGAGTCACAATTTTTGTGACACAACAAGCGGTGATGCACACTCTGTTCCTCCAGGGGGAACAGAAAATGCAGTGACAACTCATGTCACAATTTTTGTGACTCAACCGGCGATGCATACTCTGTTCCTCCAAGGGGAACAGAATGCCTCTGTGACAATATTTTGTTACAATATTGTGACACAAACGGTGATGCATACTCTGTTCCTCCAAGGGGAACAGAAGTGCATCTGTGACAACTTGTGTCACAATGTTTGTGACCGAACCGGTGATGAGTACTCCGTTCCTCCAGGGGGAACAGAAAATGCAGTGACAACTTGTGTCACAATTTTTGTGACTCAACCGGTGATGCATACTCTGTTCCTCTAGGGGGAACAGAATGCCTCTGTGACAATATTTTGTTACAATATTGTGACACAAGCGGTGATGCATACTCTGTTCCTCCAGGGGGAACAGAAGTGCATCTGTGACAACATTTTGTTACAATATTGTGACACAAACGGTGGTGCACACTCTGTTCCTCTAGGGGGAACAGAATGCCTCTGTGACAACATTTTGTTACAATAGTGTGACACAAGCGGTGGTGCACACTCTGTTCCTCTAGGGGGAACAGAATGCCTCTGTGACAACATTTTGTTACAATAGTGTGACACAAGCGGTGGTGCACACTCTGTTCCTCTAGGGGGAACAGAATGCCTCTGTGACAACATTTTGTTACAATAGTGTGACACAAGCAGTGGTGCACACTCTGTTCCTCCAGGGGAAACAGAAAATGCAGTGACAACTCGTGTCACAATTTTTGTGACTCAACCGGTGATGCATACTCTGTTCCTCTAGGGGGAACAGAATGCCTCTGTGACAACATTTTGTTACAATATTGTGACACAAACGGTGATGCATACTCTGTTCCTCCAAGGGGAACAGAAGTGCATCTGTGACAACTTGTGTCACAATTTTTGTGACCAAACCGGTGATGCATACTCTGTTCCTCCAGGGGGAACAGAAAATGCAGTGACAACTTGTGTCACAATTTTTGTGACTCAACCGGTGATGCATACTCTGTTCCTCTAGGGGAACAGAATGCCTCTGTGACAACATTTTGTTACAATATTGTGACACAAGCGGTGATGCATACTCTGTTCCTCCAGGGGGAACAGAAGTGCATCTGTGACAACATTTTGTTACAATATTGTGACACAAGCGGTGGTGCACACTCTGTTCCTCTAGGGGGAACAGAATGCCTCTGTGACAACATTTTGTTACAATATTGTGACACAAGCGGTGATGCATACTCTGTTCCTCCAAGGGGAACAGAAATGTGGTGACAACTTGTGTCACAATTTTTGTGACCGAACCGGTGATGCATACTCTGTTCCTCTAGGGGGAACAGAATGCCTCTGTGACAACATTTTGTTACAATATTGTGACACAAGCGGTGGTGCACACTCTGTTCCTCTAGGGGGAACAGAATGCCTCTGTGACAACATTTTGTTACAATATTGTGACACAAACGGTGGTGCACACTCTGTTCCTCTAGGGGGAACAGAATGCCTCTGTGACAACATTTTGTTACAATATTGTGACACAAGCGGTGGTGCACACTCTGTTCCTCCAGGGGGAACAGAAAAGGCAGTGACAACTCATGTCACAATTTTTGTGACTCAACCGGTGATGCATACTCTGTTCCTCCAGGGGGAACAGAAAATGCAGTGACAACTTGTGTCACAATGTTTGTGACTCAACCGGTGATGCATACTCTGTTCCTCTAGGGGGAACAGAATGCCTCTGTGACAATGTTTTGTTACAATATTGTGACACAAGCGGTGATGCACACTCTGTTCCTCTAGGGGGAACAGAATGCCTCTGTGACAACATTTTGTTACAATATTGTGACACAAGCGGTGGTGCACACTCTGTTCCTCTAGGGGGAACAGAAGTGCATCTGTGACGACTTTTTGTCACAATTTTTGTGACACAAGCGGTGATGTATACTCTGTTCCTCCAAAGGGGAACAGAAATGCAGTGACAACTTGTGTCACAATTTTTGTGACCAAACCGGTGATGCATACTCTGTTCCTCTAGGGGGAACAGAATGCCTCTGTCACAATATTTTGTTACAATATTGTGACACAAGCAGTGATGCATACTCTGTTCCTCCAAGGGGAACAGAAGTGCATCTGTGACAACTTGTGTCACAATATTTTTGTGACCCAACCGGTGATGCATACTCTGTTCCTCCAGGGGGTACAAAAATGTGCAAGCCAAAGTAAAACTTGCTAGAGTGC